TTTTGAGCATGCCTTATTCATCCGAGTTATACGACATTAGCGAGAGAAAGCTTACCCACTGCGCTGCAGAGAAAGCCGACAAACGTTATTCCCCTGAATAATTCTTCATCCAAGGATCGCAGCAAGGCTTCTTCTACTAGTTTGGTCAGCATTTTAAGAAACTCAAAGATGCGAAGAAAGCAGCTGGTTAGACTTTTACTAAGCGCGAAAAACAATAGACTTTATATACTTCGCCTAGCAAGCCACGAACAATAACATTAGAACGATTAGCAGGTATGCCAGTTTTGCTAGTGGTTGTAGTGACTGCATAAAAGTCGCGGAGAGAGTATAATCTTAGAGAAAGAGAAAGAGAGAGAGAGAGAGAGAGGGAAAAGGGGCAAAGCTTCATCACGTGAAATTCCGGTGGGTGCGTGGAGAGAACGAAAGCGAGTGACTGTTTTGCCTCGAGGCAGCGACGAGAAGAGCGAGAGGAAGGAAGACCGAATGAAATGAAATGTTTGCTTGTGCTTGCCTTGCGGCTGGACGTATATATATGTATACAGCCCTAGCCCTAGCTCGGCAAAAGGGAAGCTCGCGCAGATGGAGGATCGGAGCTTTTTGGAGCTCTCTCCGAGTGCCATAATTGAATGGCTTGACGAGTGGGAGAGCAAAAGTTGGATTGTTTGGCCTAGAGTAATGTCGTTGCGTATGTTTGCTCAATTTTTTCACTTTTTTTTCCTTGATGTTTTTCTTCGCTTTTTTGTTCATTCAACCCGTAGCTCCTTTTTTCGAGCGACGATCTGCCGCGAGCTTCTGATACAATGAACGAAAAAAGCTGAAACATCTACGTGAAATCATGGTAGTTAAAAATATGTAGCGCTAGATTCCCAACATTAGCACAGTGCTGTATACTACTTGGAATTATTTTTTCTCCGTCAAATTAGAAATACGACACGGCGTTAGCTGAAAAATACAATCGTAAGCAGGATTGGGGATCCCCACGAAAAATATTTACCCCGTCACGTGTATACACACATACGACCCGCAGCTTCTCACTCGTTTGCCCCGCATGCATTTATTCTCTCTGAGTTTCTTTCGTCGAGTGTATGTTGGCGCACAGGACTGTATCTAGTGCGCGTAACCCATCGAAAAAAGCTCGAAAAAGGCAGCTGATGGTTCGCGTATATATAGTAAAAGCCAACATGCTACAGTGATAGCTATATGCAGTGAGAAGCAGCGGTAGTTCACTATATACAGGACAACTAAAACAATAGCAATCGTCGCGCGCAAACACTCGCTCTCTGTGCCTCTTTCTCTTCCTCTTTATCGTCCCTCAAAGGGCAATAAAAGAAAGCCTTTCGCCTCATCCACCCCCACTTCCTGCCGTCGAAACGTTAAAAAAGTGAAAAAGCTCGTCGAAAACTACGTCGTGGTGCACTTTGTTTTTAACCCTTTTTCGCGCAGTTGAATCGAGAATCGCGCCATGTACGTGTGTATGTATAAGCCGGTACATATACCGCGATATAGCTGCCTCTGCTGCTGTTATACTCGTGTGGTTTGAAGCAAATCCAGCTTGAAGCACGTATGGCAACGTCTCGGCAGCTCTTCGAGACTCTCTAGCCGTGGCTCGAGAGGGGTAAATAAATGCGGAAGTGCTAATTTCGAGCGACGGTCGTGTGTACGTATGTAGGTGTGTGTGTGTATGTGCGCTGGCAAGCTCTCTTCCACTCTCTTCTTGGTCTTATGCTAATGTGCACGCGCGTGATCGCGCTTACATTCTCGACGAAGCAGCAGCAGCAGCCGTCCTCGCGCTTGAATAAGCAAGCCCCGAGCTTTTTCTAGTGCTCGCACACCAAGTACATCCTGCTACGTACGTCCCGATCCGCAAGCTTATAATAATACACTAGCTCTTTTTTCCATTTTATTATTTTCAAACCCACTTGGTTATAAGACTATACAAGAGGGTTGTTTTCCAAGGATAGCTACGTCGCGCTAGTTTGTTCGGAAACGAGGACGCGTGTGCTCCAAGGGGAATGAAAAGGCAAACGTGTGCTTTTTGCCGAGCTGCTGAATTAATAATCGTGGCGTTTAATTGTATTCATGGCTTGGCAACGCGCTGATATCAAATCGCTCCGAGTGATTCTTCGCTCGAGCAACCGAGTTCGCCCCCTCCAGAGATAATCGAACTGGGACGGTTCATTCTTTGGACGAAATTGTCCGTTCCGAGTTTTCGACTGGAAAAGAGATGGGAAACTTTTTTTGATGCTGCTACTGGCTCGTTTTTTGTTCGATCGTTCTTTTTACCCTGCTTTTCTTCTCATTCTCAACTATAACAGCTAATTCGGTCCGTTTCTAATCCGAAAGTAACACTTTTTGCTCCCAAAGCAATTTGCCGCCAACAGGGAAGTTTTCCCGCGAGCACGAGCCATAATCCTTTCCCCACTCGTTCTATAGCCTAATTGTACATGCAGATATAAATAGAATGAAACACGCGTGGCAATGCACACACATACGTACAGGATCGCAGTCGGCGCCGTACATGTAATGCTTACATACATACGCGTGTATAGTAGCAGCAATTGAGCTCTCGAGTGTAGTAATTCTCGTCAGTGAAAGGATATGTACTCTGTGCCGTAGGTAGGTGTAACCAAGCCATGCACACGACTGGGTAGTATATGAACCAAACTAGCTGCGAGCCCACCAAAACCCTTTTCTCCCTTCCACGAAAGAGCAAGCTCGCAAGCGGTCGAGGGCGAGCGAGAGATAGTTGCGTGAGTGCGGCGTATACCCAGCCAGCCAGCCAGCCAGCCAGCCGGTAACGTACATTTACAAGAGAGTGCGCGTGCGGTAATAACCGAGGAGAGAGAGAGAGAGAGAGAGAGAGAGAGAGAGAGAGAGAGAGAGAGAGAGAGAGAGAGAGAGAGCGAAAGCACGCGCGTGAGCAACCGAGGCAAATTTAATTTAAAACGCGCGGAGCAGCGTGAAACTTGCGGGCTTGAAAATAAAAAAATGAGAGAAAGAGAGAGCTAGAGATAAAAAGCAGCAGCATCGAGAAGTATTATATATATATGTGCGCTGCAAAACTGTGCAGAAACCCGGGAGTGTACTACTGACAGTGGGATTGACATACGCACGCTGTACTGCCTCGAACTAGGCCAAAAAGAGCAGCGCTGCAATGCGCGCACGTGCGTGCGTGCGCGGCGATAAACGCGAGCGAAAGATTTGAAGCCTGGCAATTTTCACCGCTCGACATTTTTATATTTATACAGCAAATACATGAAAATGTTTTCAAATACGGTGGTAAGCTCGACTTGAGCGAGCGATAGACGCGCGTGACTCACGTTTTGCCGCGTGCATCACCCACATATCAATATTCCGTGCGTTAATGCAATAGCATGGAGTTTCGTGAAGCTCCTATAGCGTGTCTTTTGATTTACAAGTATAAATCGCGCAGACGAGCTCGAGTGTCAGCCAGAATTTTTCAATGTATGCACGAGTCGATCCGACGTAACGCGAGTGCACCCTGAAGCTAAAACGTACTCTCGTGTAAAGGCCTCCCTTGTTCCTGGCTTGGGATGAATTTTCACGCGCGTTAGTTCGAACTATATCGTCGGTGTATTGTGTCGAAGAAGCAACGAGGTAAATTCAAGCGCGTTTCGCAGAATGGGAAAATACGACGGGAAGAATAATTTTTGCAGCTCTCCGCGTGCGAGAATCTCTGATGCACGCGGCGTATCGCACACGTCCAGGCCGCGGCTCGATAAGGGGCTCGTGCGATGCCGCTCGTGGCTCGACGGACGGACAGGTCGTTTCATATGCAGATAAGATGAAAATCTGGTCGGTCGGATATGCGCGCGGAGTAGCAGCAACTACAGCTAGCAGCGACTGACGGAAAGAGATGCCGTGTATGCGTCTGTGCAGCGGATACGACGCCGGCTGTATTATGGCGGCAGCGAGACATGTAACGCACTGGCCGTCCCAGTATACAAAGCTGTGCAGCGGAGAGTGGAACAACGCGAGTCTAGAGCCTATATACATAGCTACGCCAGACATTGTTTAGCTCAGCTATAAGCACGAGGCTTCCAAGTTGTTCCCTAACCCCCGCCCGACAAGCCGCATCGAGGAGTCGGATGGCTTTCCCGACGAAATATTCCCAAATAATGGAATAGTTAGCTAATCAAAATTTAACCCTACCACTGCTGCTATTACTACTATACGCGTAGTCCTAATGAATATCCGCGTCGGCAAGTATTTTTGATGCTTTATACCGAGGGTCTGTGAACAATCGCTGCTGCTACTGCTGCTATTGCACTCGTGCAGTCGAGCTCTCACGGCATAACGTCGACTCGTTGTTGGAGCATATATAGTATATCTGTGAAATCTATTGTGTATGCAAGCGCGCACGTGTAGTCAGCCTAAATCAGCTATTAAGAGCCATTCAGACGTTTGGTGAGGCTATATGTGTCGGGCGTGCATATGCAGAATACACTGCTTTCCGCATGTGCCGCACGAACGCGAATGGAATGTGAAACTTATTAAATCTATTGTTGCGCGTAGTTTCTCTCGCGATGAGAAAGCTAGCTTCGGTACGTGGATTATGCTGCAGCTTCGAGTATACGACGTATTCGAGAGCCCTTTTTCAGACATAAACATGTCATTTTCCCAGGTAAATAGCAACTATTTGTCAAATCATACGGATCGTATTGCTGCATAATTGAATTCGCCACAATTTCGAATACGGGTAAGCAAGAAGTTAAATTAGTTAATCTCGATGGAGTCGAGCTCATTTTTGAGTCTGAGTCAAGTACTCAACTTTTCGCTTAAATTTAAAACGCCATGTCGTAGATCGATGTGCGATTTGAAATTAAAAATGTTCAGACGTTTCGAGTGTATGATAAAAGTGAGCTTGGATAAAAAAAATTTAAAAATTTTCTCTGTAAAAAGTGATTTTTAAACGATTTTTGACAATTCATCATATTTATCTATTTATAATTTTCTTACATGAGTTCTGAGTCGTTTAATTGAGCATTAACTGTAATGAATTTCAAACTCATTTCAAATACTTGAGTAATTTCGATAGAAATATCATATGGTTGTAATTTTCAACAAATTCAACATTTTTGTTTTTCGATAGTTTCTTCAACATCACAAATCCTTTATGGATACCTTCATGAATTGGAACAATTTCTACTTTCTTTTTTTCCGTTATGATCTTTTGCGGCCAAATCACAGAAGATAGTGCTAGAGCGTCGTCTGGTATCCACTCACCATTTCCAGTTTTAAGAGGTATACGTTCAACTTTGTTCAAGAAATCAATTACTTCGGACTTTGTTTTTGAACCGAGCACATTCGCTCTCCAGCCCTGATTAAAATATGTTTTATTTTAAAAAAGATAAAATTCTATAAATAATCTATCAAGCATACCATATCAATTTTATGTTTTCTCCTTGTGCATCCTGGGAAAACAGTTATTGGCGCATGTTTTATATTTTTGAAAAATAAGTGTACACTTTCAGGATCTAATCCGTAATTAAAATCAGGGGCCCGGGCTCCAATGCCTAATGGACACGAACCCATGCTCCAAAATTGTTTTACGTTCTCGGCTAGCTGAGTATCCAATTGCACTGCCTTTGCAATATTAGTCAGCGGTCCGAGCAACACAATATTCAGTTGTTCTTTAAAAAAATGTTTAAAAAAAATTTAAATAAAATTACGATCAATAAATAAAACTCGAAACGATGTTATACTTGGATAAAGTTTGGCATAATGAGATATGGCTTCTGGAGCTGTCATTGAACGATCGACTTTAGCAGTTATTTTTTTATCGAATTTGATATCACCCATACCGTCTTTTCCAAAAAAATTTGTGGGTTGATAAGTAGATTTTAGAGGTTTTTTTGACCCACTATAGACTGGCACCTGAAGTATTTTTAGTCATTAAAAACTATCTTTCTAAACTTTTATTTTTCATTACTCACATCATTTCTACCAGCTACTGTCAAAATCTTTAAAACATTTTCTTCGACATTTTTCTCTAAAGTATTACCGTAAGTACAAGTAATGGCTACCACATCTACCATGTCAGAAGCTTTAAGAGCTAACATGAGTGCTACTGCATCATCGCTACCTGCATCAGTATCGATGAGTAATTTCATACGATTTGGGACTGCACTGATGATGATAAAAGTTATTCGATTTTTTATTTAATAGAAAAAATATTGATTTTATAATTACTGTATGTGGGAAGTCAAAATTCCTAAAAGTGTAAGAATAATCTTGAGATCCATGATAACTTTGTAAACAACAAAATTTTTTGAATAAATATATTGAAATTAAATTTTTTTGCCCCAGATGAATTCTTTCAATTTACTTGGTCAACAAAATATTAGTGACTGCGGACTAAATAACAATGATACGATTATATAGATATTCGCTTCTCGTGAACGTGTACGTGTGCGTCGTTAAATTTTGTAGTTTCACGATTTATTTCCACGATATAAAAAGTATTGTTCATGTATTTAACTTCGTTATCCCAACTAAGAGTGACTTCGCTACGAGATTGAGATCACGCCATTTAAAAGCAGGCATATTTTTAAATTGAGACTAGATTCTGGAGCTCTGATAATTGTCGAATGATTCGAGGAAAGGGAATACAGATTGAACCGAAGTGACACCCAGACAATTTGGAAATTATTTGCCACGTATGGATTGTTCGAGAAGTGTATACGCATTTTGAAGAATGTTCGTGATTGCGATAAGCATATTTGAGTATTTTTTAATGTCTAAAGTTATTTTTATGTTATATTTTTTCCATATCACTTCAAAAAAATAAACTAAAAAAACTTACAGTTTTGATTTTTCTATCGATAAGCACACGATCATTTAAAATAGATTCTCGAATTGTGTATTCATTGTTATCACCAAAGAGACCTTGAGATTCAAGTCATTAATACACCCTTCAAAAATATAAGTATTAAAACAAAATGATTCTACAGCGCAATTAGAACAGTTCAAGTACTTGAAAAAACACGAGTACTCGAAAAAGGTCGGTTAGCTAAAAACATTCGAGTACGAGTACTCAAATTTTTCTGGCCCGATTAAAACTCAACTCGAACCTAGTCGAGTCGGTTTTGAGTTAAGTCAAATTTAAATATCGTGTACTCGTACATCCCCAGATCGGGAGAATGAAATTATTTCCGCTGGTACTTTTGTCACCAAGGAAAATAACAATCGCAAGACTTTACAATGTCAATTGTTTTATATTTATTATTTGGTAAGTCGCAATGCGCATTTGTGACTATGCTCGTCACGAGCTTCGTTTCTCGAGCTTGCGATGCTGAAATAATAGACGTTACTTTTGAAGCCAAAGTTCCAGTCATAAACAGGCATACGCACACGCGCCGGGAAAGATGCGGAAAGCACAGTGTAGGCATGGCGTAGCTCATTTCAGTAAAATCACGGCTTGTAAATCGCTGTCGCCAGGAGGCATATGTCGTGCGAGCGTGTGCGTGTGCGCCCGCACGCGAGCCCTATATAACGATACGCGCCGCTCGCAAAGTCGTATCAGAATGGCTTTTCAAAGTTAAGTTCTTGACTAATAAGTTTTCACTACTGCTGCTTCTGCTGCTGCTACTGCTGCCACTACTTCTACTATCGTACGAGGTTTACGTGAGTCTCGAACTTCTCTCTTTCTCTCTCGCTCTCTTGGCTCTGCTTTCCTTACTCTGTGCCGTACATATACTTATACCAAACGTATTATGTAAATTTTCTCCCGAACTGTACCGTAACGACGACGACAACGAGAACGACTACGGCGGCGACTTCTCTTTATACTTGTAATACTTTGTACCTTTGCAAATTAAACTCCAATGAGCCTCTGGCGAAAGGATATAATATATTATAAGCCCCTCTCGCGAGTCTCATTTGCATATGCGCGTCACGGACTATCATATACTCACACACAATATAATATAAATATAACTTACTTGACAAATCACTGAAATTTATATTCAAAACGATCCAACGATAAGCACGCGGTAATTTTCTGCTAGTTTTTTTGTTCTCAAGAAATCTCGAAGCGATAACGAGCGGTAAAGACGAGGGAAAAGAAGAAGGAATCGCGCCCTTGTCCTGGCTGCCCTAAAAGCATCCGATGTTACGCACAGCGTCAAGAAAAAACTTCCGGCCTCGTAAGCGCGTAGGGGCTATAAAAGCGATACGCGCGAGCGTGTGTGCGAGTTTATACGGCGGCTCCAAGATACATATTCGCACGCAAGGAATATCTCCATGCAATTCCCACCTGTGTGCTTTGAAGAAAGAAAAAAATAGTCTCCTCTGCCGCTCAGGTGGTGTCTTTTTTCTGCGTGTCTCTCTCTTTCCTTCGTGAGCGGTGTCTGAAAGAGGAGGGAGAAAAAAAATAATCTCAACTTCGTGCCATACAATAACACGAATTCCTCTCCAGCTCGACTTTGCTTTAATTCCAAGTTTCGCAAGCTCGACAGGCTAAACTTGCAGCCATGGCTGCGCGCGCGAGCTGCAGCTTCGAGCTTGCATGGCTCCATGTGTATATACTATTTTACATTAACTGCATACGAGCGCGCTGCCTGGAACTGCCCTGACCCATGCAACAGCGGCAGCGCAACAGTAGTTGCGAACGTGCGCTTAACGAAATTACGTATAAACATCTACTGAGCTAGAAAACCATACGCGCGAATGAAATTATTCACGGGCAATCTGTCGAGTGTGCGAGCGAAAAGCGAAAAGCGAATTAATTTGCAGCCCTTTCGCACGCTGTAAATGCCTCTCTCTCTCTCTCTCTCACTCTCTCTCTTCTTCTCTCACTTTTCAGCATGCGTATAGCCGGAAAATCTACATATTTACTCCCGGCGAGTTCGCCTAAACGACCAGCTAGAAAGTATAACTCGCTTCGATGGCTATTATACGTTGGCGCGGGCTGCGTTACTTATAGACGGCGACGCGCTATTGCACGACAAGATTACACGCGCTTCCGTAACCCTCAGCTCGCTCACTCTCTACTTGTTTACACTAAAAGCCTTGCGCACGCCATCTATGAGTGTGTGTATGTGGGTGTGTATGTGTTTGCAGAGTATATGTATACAATATAATACTACCACGTTGCGTCCCGCATCGATTAGTGCTGCCTCTTCGCACGCGTCAGAGCCTCTGAGCTATGGTCCTTTGTACTTGCTTGCGAGAATAGATAATTTATACGAGATTTTCTCACACGCCAGTCGAGCGTCGATCTACGTGTGCGTGTATAATGTTACGCGTGGTAGCAGTAACAATAACAACAACATAAGCATCAGCAGCGGCTATATGGCTATCATTGTGCAAGCTCACGGCAGCGTGAAGACAGCAGCTCGCGAGCTTTTTGCCGCAAGCTCCGAGCTTTACGCGTACGTAGGCGAGCAGTCAGCTACGTATCGTTTATTCATTTAGATCAAGTTGAGCAAATGGAGCGAGAGTTGCCAAGACAGGCGAGTCGTGCAAGTTCGAGCTAGAGGTGGCTCCGAGGCAACGAGAAAAAGATGTGTATATATGTTTACCCGAGACTAGTTTGTTCATATTTTATGACGTTGCGCTTGGTGTTTTATAGATGTCTAGTGCCAGCTCAAGGGTGAGGCGAGGAGGAACTGAGCTGCGCTATATATATACTCGTGAAACATTAGCGCGCCCGCCTTGCCTTGTGTACTATCAGACGTCTGCGCATATTGTTATACCTACACCGTCGCGGATATTCGACAAACGCCGAATGTCTTTGCGAATACTGAGATGTTTTCTTGAGAGGAAGCAGAGGGACGATGATGCGCTTGGCTCGCATAATTTATATTTGAATCATATAGATCAAACGGAAACATTTATATTTTTTACTGTTCGGCGATGAAATAAAGTACCGGATGGAGTTAATTTAGTTATAGAATCATAAAAATTTTTTAAATGACTCAAATTATCAGCAAAGAAAAGCAGAATTCCTTAGCACCATCTAAGCTCTGAAACGAGTTAGCAGGACGAGCACATGCGACATAGGAACGACGGGTATCATACGAAATGTCACCATGTATTTTCACAGCTAAGCTTCGAGATATTCGAATTGAAGCAAAACTATCATTAAAATATCTGGGCTTCATTTTGAACAGGAAATTCAAGAAAAAAAATACGCAGAGTTTCAGGACGAAAGGTTCCGTTTCTTTATTATTATTATTCATATATTTTTGTGAAGAAAAAGTTTTTATTCACATTTATAAGCAATCCACATCATTTTCATATAAAAAAAGTATAATTTAATCGGCTCCTTAGTATCCCCTGGATAACCAACACCAAGCTCTTAATAAGCAATATCCAGAGTTCAATATTCATGAATGTTCCACTATGAATGTTCCACTTCAGCAAGACTATAATGAAGTTATTTTATTTTATTCTTCAAGTTTCGATACTTTTTCGTTTATACATAAGATTGACTTTCGTAAGCTTTTAATTGTGAGATGAATTTAATAAACGATAGGACCTCCAAAATAATTAAAAAGATTATGACTTGAGTGTGTTTCTTAAAATAAGACAGAGTGAAGTTGAGCTTTTGGTGTCTGAGCCTAGTTTGTCACAAAACATGTACAAGACAGCACGCGGAAGCGGCACAGGATAGCGTATACTTCGCTTTTTAGATGCAGAATATTTCATAAGACTCTACTGTTTCTACGCGTGAGCTTTATGATTAAGAGCGAAGATTTCCTACTTTATTTTCTCTTTCTTTCCCTTAAAAAATTTGAGTGTATATGAATTTTTCTTCTCCGCGTCGCTGTGCAACCACTTATTTTTTAATAAACCGTGGAATTCAAACGCGAATTGCGCTAGGAAACGTAATATACCAAAGTAATACTGGAAGTTGATTAACACGAAAGTCGTAAAAATGGCTAGAGCGCAAAATAAAAATAATTTAAAGAAAGAGTGAGAGCGAGTGAGTGAATCTGAACGACCGCGAATCGATAATTCTATTACAAAAGAACGGGTATTGGTTCAATTTTTTATTTAAAATATTATCAAAATTTTTTTGCGCATATATCGTTGAATTTTTTATCATGGATTGCTCGATAATATGAATAGTACAGTATAGCTTTGCGAGGAAAATGTTGACGCGCATAAACGCGAGCTTCGTATAGCTTTGTGGAATAATATTCGAGGAAAAGAAGGACGATGTAGAACGTCGGGTAAGGACTCGTGACGGCAAAAAAATGAAAAGGAAATATTTTCCCGCAAGATGGAATTTGTCCAT